GTGTTCTGATATTACAGTTATGAGCTGGGCTGCTATCTGCAAGGTCAGTAGTTTGAATCTACCAATTGCTCATTGCGAGAAACTTGAAGTTTTCTGCTCTTGGAAAGATTTACAGCCTTGGAAACTCTATACATTCGGAACTGACTTGGTGGCACACAACCACTACAACCACAAACATAATACCTGTGTTATTTCTCAACAAAATAACCCAAAGCATTCATTAATATCATCTTGTCCTCTACTCAAACTTTCCCACTATTTCCCATCTAGTACAATATACAAGTCCATTAATTCTGAATCACTTCTGAGACCCTGTGTTATGGGATCCTGGCTTTTCTTTGGCCTCATCGCCTATGTTTCTTGATATCCTTTGTTCTCATCTAGCTATAGAGCTCTTTGCTGTTCCAGAATGCACCTGGATGCTATTGCAGTACATTGACTTGCTGCTTTCTTTGCCACAGGACACTTTTCCCATAGGTGATCACATGACTTACCCTGCCACCTACTTCACATTTTTTGCATCAATGCCATCTTACCAAGGAATCTTCTTGACCGACCTATTCAAAACCCCTATTTAGAGTCTCTCTTCCCATCACTTTCTCTTCCCTTCCTTGACTGTTTTCTTCTTCATCATCATTATCACCTGCTTTACTAAATAGTGCACAGCTGGTGTGGTGCTGCTATAGGAACCACAAAGTGCACTGTTCAAACCCAGCAGCTGCTCTTAGGAAATCCTACATAGGGTCGCTATGAATCGGAACAAACTTGATGGCACTTAACAACAATAATAGTAAATATTTAAATTTATTTATGTTGTCCTTTAGAAGAATACATGCCTCTTAATTATAGCCATATTCATACTGCATATTCATATGGAATATCACTTGCCATAGAGTTGGCAGTAAAGATTTGTTGTTTGAATAAATAAGCCCGAGCCTTTACCTGTAGAGTGGGGATAACAGTACTTATTCTGCAGTTTTCTTATCTGCAGTGTTACTGATAACGCACATAAGGTAGTTATCACAGTGTCCAACACACGGTAATTGTTGTTGTTTCTTTTATAATTAGGGCTTTTAATATTTTGCCCCAAACATTACCTTGTCTCAAACACTTAGAAAAAAATAAAAAGTCATTCTATCTTTTTGTACAAGGCACCATTTGTGCAGGATATAAGACAGAGATGACACTGTATTAATCCTTTTAGATATAGCAGAAAAACAAGGAGACTATTTTCACACTCGTTCACTCCAAATTCTTGAGTGAAGAATACTGATATTTCTAGAGTGCTTCCAGACATTTCAAGTTGACTGATAGGAAATCTTTTCAAGAATACATAATACATTCACTTGTAAATTCCCCCAGAATTGCTTTGAACATTAGAATATTGTATTACTATTTCTATAGGTCATATATTTTCTAGGAATCTGAATATCTTTAGAAAATGTGAATCCTAAACTTTCAGATTGCTGATGGAGCCAATGATCCAACGATATCTGTGTCTATCTATAGTTGTTGTCAAGTGCCATCAAGTCAATTCCAGCCCAGGAATCCTGGTGTGATGCTGTGGGTTAATGCGCCAGACTGCAAACCCATTTGAACTGTCAGGTCGGTGGTTCAAGCTCACCAGCTGCTCCTTGGAAACCCTATAAAGGATCGCTATGGCTCAGAACCAATTCTACAGCACTTAACAACAACGACAAGCTTTATCTATATCTATATTTCTCTGTAAGGAGCTCTGGTAGCATGGTGATTACAAATCGGTCTGCTAACCTCAGGGTCAGCAGTTTGAAACTACCAGCTGTTCTATGGGAGAAAAATGAGACTTTCTGTTCTGTAATAATTTACAGCCTTGGAAATCCTGTACAGGGTCACTATGAGTGAGAACCGACTCCACGGCACATAACCACCACCACATTTCTCTGTGCGCATTATATCACCCATGTCTCCATATTATCAGTGGTGCTGTGGATTAATGTGCTGGACTGCAAAGTTGCTTTGAACTGCACAGTTGGCAGTTCGAGCTCACAAGATGCTCCTTGGAAACCCTATACAGGGTTTGAAATTAACTCGACAGCACTTAACAACACCAACAACATGTAAAATTCAGATTTTAATCATTACTACTATGAAGTATTTTCAACCTACAAAAACAAAGAAAATGTAAGTAACACAGTGTAATATCCTTTATTTCATCAAACCCTAACGTTTTGTCGTATTTGTTTCAAGTAATTTCCTAATAAATTGAATATCACAGATGTTGAACACTCTTGGATTTTTATTTATTTTTTTGCCGTATTCTATTCTACCTTCTTTTAGTCACCAGAGATAATCCTGAATTTGCTTTTTCTCATTCTTGTGCATTTATTGTTTTAATCATTACAAATATTAACTCCTGGATATAATTAATAGACACAGTTTGCTTTATCTTCAGATTCAAAACAAAACAAAAACAAACAGGAACTTTTCTTTAAAGCTCTGAAAGTCTTCCTTCTATTGAAAAAATCAGGAAAACAGGTCAATTCATCCCAGAAGCAGCCAGCTGAAGCTGCAGGTGGCTAACTCTACATATCAACACAATTGCATTCAATGGCTATTAACTTACACTGGGCCTATTTCATTCTTTTATTTTTCTTAGGCTACTATTGATATTTGCATTTGTTCTCAGAAGTTTAAGCTATTTAAAATAGTTTATTCTTGACCTAGCTTCTGTTTCATTTCTATTTTAATTTTAATTTGTTTTGCATTTATCGCTTAAAGAGTAATCTTTTGTTGAAAAAAAAAATGAAAGCAAAATTGGGATCTGGCCCTTCACATGTCACCAGTGACAGGTTTACCTAACTCCCCAAGCAGTGGGTCTTTTTGTCTATATATATATTTTTATTGAACACGACGAACAATGCCCCTTTTCTTTGTCTTACAGTTCAAACTTAACTACCCGCTCCTCCAAAATGCTATACAGGGTCACTATGGGTCAGAAATGACTCGCTGGCACTTAACAGTAACAGCCATGAGTTATGAAACTGGAGTTCTTTCAGTTGGAAGAAGCCCACACTGCTCATCCTTTTAAATGAATCCCAAATCATCAGCACTCTTTTGATTCAGTGGATCTTTTCTTCATCTTTGTCATAAAAAGACATTACTAATCCTGGAATAGCAATGAGTAAAATTACAGGCCCATGGTTTTATACCTCAAGACGTATGGTGGAGAAAATGAAATCCAGTGACAAAGAAATCTTTTTAAACATTTTACTTATCATGTTTTGATCATTGTTAATGGGTGTCAGAGAAATGATGATAGTCTTAATAAATTATGATAATGATAATTTAGATATGATGCACTATTCATTGAATACTAGGAGTACAGAATGAGCTCTGGTAGCACAGTGGTTACGAGTCAGGTTGCTAACCTAAAGGTCAGCGGTTCGAAACTATCAGTTGTTCCATGGGAGAAAGATGAGGTGTCCTGCTCCTGTAAAGATTGACAGCCTCGGAAACCCTATGCAGGGTTGCTTTGAGTTGGAACCGATTAGAGGCACACCACCACCACCACCACCACCAGGAGTACAGATAAGGAATAGACATCCTGTGTGTTTTCCTAATACACAATGTCTGAAACACTTCCTCTTTGGGGCATCAGATTATCCCATAAAAATGTATCAATTTAGCAGCAAACCAAGAAATCATCCAGCTGATTTTATTCCCATGTATAGATTTTTTGCAGTTTAAGAATCTCCACGGCACATAACAACAACAACAACATCCTGATGTAGGCCCAAAGTTCTGTTTTGCAAATTTCTAAAAACTTTACATAAGCATGTGCAGTTTATATATTTTTATATATTTAACAAATGCATTTATTAAAGGAGAAAATAGAAACATACCAAGTTGGATTCTTTAGTCTTCCCTCAGTGACTTTGAAAAAAGGAGCTCTGAGTCCCACTAAATGCTCTCGGTGATGCTCACACAGTGTCTGTTTGCTTTTAAATGAGGAGCTTTTTTTAAGTAAATAATGTGCGTATTATACGATTTTTGCAAATGACGCAACCCCTTTGCACGTTACTTTCCTCTGTGCTATGGTACGTTATATGTTGTTGTTGTTAAGTACCGTGGAGTCGGTTCCGACTCATAGTGACCCTGCACATGGTTTCTGAGGCTGCAAATCTTTACGGCATTAGAAAGCCTCATCTTTCCCCTTCGGAACAGCTGGTCGTTTCGAACTGCTGACCTGAGGTTAGCAATCCAATTCATAACCACCATGCTACCTTGAGTGATCCTTATGGGTATGTTATTGGGACGTCCTGGTGTGGTGCTATAGGATAAGCACAGGACTGCTAATCTCCAGGTCAGTTGTTCAAACTCATTAGCTGCTCCTCAGAAACCCTATGCAGGGCTGTTCTAAAGTGGAACCGACTCAATGGCACATAACAACAACATTTACGATAACTATGGTAATCTTTTAGCTGCAGACTTAATCTGGAAGGACATTAATATCTTCAGATGCAGTAATTTTACTTAGGATCCCAAAATATTTTCTTAACATTCTGTGTTTGAGGGAAAAAGTCTTGATTTCTAGAAATTTAAATTCCGAGCGTGACCTCAGTCAAGGATTGAAGGCCAACTGGTTTTCCGTCACCTGCCAAACTGAAGTGTTTTAGAGTACAGGACAGAATCCTGGTGTGGGTGGCACTGTGGGTTAATGCTCTGGACTACTAAATTGGTTTGAACTGCAAGGTCAGCGGTTCAAGCTCACCAGCCACTCCTTAGAAACCCTATACAGGGTTGCTCTGAGTCGGAAGCAACTTCACGGCACTTAACAACAACCAGAAGAATACAGGATAGTACATGAAAAACATGCGTATGTTGAAAATACAATAAACATTTTAGTGAAGTTATATTGCTTTCATTACTTCTCTGCTTTTGTGGCATTACAGAGACTTAAAAAGTTAAAAATGAATATTGAAATTAAATCCATCCCAAAGAAAAAAGACACACCGATTTTATTTTAAAAGAAACAGTATTTATTAAGAAATTATATGCTGAATTCTCCTACAATCTGTGACCATGGTTCCTTCCATTTCCATAGCACATAAAACAACAGCTAAGAGCATCTGGAAAACACTTGCAATGCTTGGTTATGGAGAATTCCTAGTAAAAGAAATGAAATGAAGTGACTTACATATTGATATAAATGCTTGGAAACAAAGAAAAGACAATCTTTTCCTTGTCATCCTAGTTCTTACCTATCCAAGCACTGAAACCACTCTATTGGATTTCGGAACCCAGTTTGAAATATTAGGTTATAATGAGGTCAGTTCAGTTCAGTAGAGCGAAGCATGCTCAACTTAGTCACAGCCAAACCAACAGTCCTTTAACTATGGTATGACATCTAAAATATTTGCATTCTTCATTAATAAAAATGGTGCTTACAGAGAACAGAAATATAACTTTTCAAGGACTTTATTCTTATGAACTGAAATATTTTGAACTATAAATTAAAAATAAATTATAAAAACTAGCATACAATGTAGCTTTTCTTACATGAGAGTGTTGGAAATAAGCTTTAAACGTAGAACTGCAATATCACCTGACTGTATATATGATCAACAGTAAAACATGCTAATCATAAAAATAGCTTTTACAAATATACATTTGTATACAGTGTTTCCCTTATCATTCATAAATTCCCTTCCTTCACATTTTGTGACTTTGACAACTTAAAAACAAACTCAAATGAACCTAATTAGCTGGGAGAAAAACACATTTACAATGGAAACCATAAAAATCTGACAATTGTACAGCTTAGAACATAGAAGAAATGGAATAGAACAATATTGTCCATTTTATTTACTTGGGTTTTTATATAAATCGAACCAAAGATGCCGCTGTCTAGTATGAAACCTCCTGTCATATTCCTGGGGGTTGTCACAGTTTCTCCTTTCAGCTTTCATGGTGCCACACATTACTTCGAATCATTTTATCTGTAGAAACTGAGAAGAGAAAAAAACGTTTTAAAAAACAGATTTATGTTTCATTTTTAACAGCATGCATATATGTTTTCGCTTTTAAGGCTAAATCTGGATAAGGATAGAGAAAGAACTAGATTTTTAGGGCAAATACTTTTGATGATAGATTTTTAAATCCTTTCTTGTAGTCATGCCTAGAATTATTTTCATTTATACCATGTTATGAATTTGTTTTGTTGAGCTCAGCAATTACCTTTCAACCTGAGCTCTTCTGTAAATCAGTGAGAAACCATTTGAAGCTCTAGGCTAGAGAAAGATATTTGCTCTTGCTCAAGAATCTTTGCTGCCCCTAACAAGAATGACCACAATATACTTTTCTCCTTTAAGAGGCTTTGAATAGTTCAGTCTTAAGCCTCATGTACCTAGGATACGACAAAAAGCTAATGTAGGTCTCTGACCCTCTTTATACAATCCTGGTTGCAAAGGAACAAAGTCAGAAGCAGAGACGGCAGTGAATGACTTCAAGATGAGTCAGAAAGTTATGTGTGAGCCCAAATTCAATTGGTTGAAGAATTGAATTGAGACATTGAATGTGAATCTGAATATAGTAAATAGAGAGTCCTGGTGTGACACTATGGGTTAATGGGCTGGACTGCAAGGTCCGTTTGAACTGCAAGGTCAGCAGTTCAAGCTCACCAGCTACTCCTTGGTAACCCTATCCAGGGTTGCTATCAGTCAGAACTGATTCAATGGCACTTCACAATACTAACAAGATTACATAAGTGGGGAAAGACATTTATTTCCCTTAGAATCAAATCCAAGGTCATTGTGTTTAGAAACCCAGTGCCACGAGTCAATGCAACTCCTAGTGATCCTATGTAGGGTTTCTGAGGCTGTAAATCTTTACTGGAGCAGACAACTTCCTCTTTCTTCCAAAGAGTGACCAGTAGGGTTTAACTGCCAAACTTGTAGAGAACTACCCAACGCTTATGCTGCAATGCTACCAGGGCTCCTGTATTTGGTAGAAAACAGAATTACCTATGTTGTTGTTAATGTTGTCGAGTTGGTTTCGACTCATAATGACCCTGTATAGTTTCCAGGGCTTCGAGTCTTTGTGGGTGCAGAAAATGTCAACTTTTTCCTGTGGAGTGACTGTGGTACACAATCCACAGTGCTTATTGTATAGAGCCACCACGCTCCCCATAACAACCTATATTGCTATGTATTTCTAAACTCTTTGTATTTAGCTAGAAAGTCTATGCATATGTCTCAGAGCCAAAGACATGCAAATCAAGGTATCAGTTTGGATGGGAATTGAAGACTCCTATGAGTAGTCAGAGAATTAGGTCACTTTCCCTTTTATTAAGTTTAGACACCATGATATAGAGATGATAAAACAAAGGAATATGGCAGTGGGGTGGCAAGGATTGCACTGGATGCCAGTAACTTCAGTGATCCCACTTTACCAAGTCTGCTGGTTGAAAAGAACTCTGAGAACCTGTGGGTAATTTCTCTCCCTTTATAGGACTACATCTTCCAAACTCAGAAATCATTGTTGAGTGCTGTCCAGTCGGTTCTGGTTCACAGTGACCCTATACAGGGTTTCTGAGGAGAAGCTGGTGAGTTTAAACTGCTAACCTTGTGGTGCTTATTCTACAGCTCTACACCACATGTTGTTGTTGTTAAGAACTAGTCAAGTCGGTTCCAACTCATAATGACCCTGTATAGGGTTCCTGAGGAGTGGCTGGTGAGTTTGAACTGCCACGTTTGCAGTTCAAACCCACCTTGTGGTCGAGTGCTAATCCTACAAGCCACACTAGATATGATGTTATTGTTGTTAAGTGCTGTCAAGTCGATTCTGACCAATAGAGACCTTGTACAGGGTTCCCAATGAGTATCTGGTGAGGTTGAACCACTGACCTTGCAGTTCAAACGACTTTGCAGTCTGATGCATTAGCCCACAGCACCATACCAGGATTCCATACAGACAGCTAAATAATTGAGTTAAATGAACACTGCCTTTCTTAGTGAGTAAATGTCATTTAATTCTATGAAGATTTAGAATTAAATATAAATGCTTGTGAGAATAATAACCATAGTACTAATATGTTTTTGTTAAGAATAAATCTGTGGCCATCTGTTGCCTCTTGTGTTATTTAAGAGAATTTTGGTTTGTTAGAGTGACAGTCAGAATTTCAGTTTGGAATGTGCAATTGAAAAGTGGAGAATGTGAAACTGATGATGTGCCCTGTAAACTTTCATTCACTCAATCCACAATAAAAACCTTAAATTAAAAAAAAAAAAAAAAAGAAAAGTGGAGACATGGGATTTCAGTCTTATGATAAGAAATCTTACTAAGTTTGTGCATGATATTGGAAAATGTATGAAAACTTAAGGTCATTGTATTGACTCATGTATTAAATTTTAAGAAACATTTCATTGTCAAGATTTTACATGCTAGCAGACAAATGGGATAATTTAAGAAGATGATGTCAAGTACAGAAAATTTACAAAAGCTATTTTGCAGTGCTTGAACACAATTAATTTACTAATTTAGGACAATCATTATTCAAAGACCTCTTAGAATTACTTCATTAAAAATTGTATTTATAATAATACATTGGACTCCTGGTGTGGCGCTGTAGGATCAGCACTGGACTTCAAACCACAAGGTTTGAACTCACTAACTGTTCAAACTCACTAACTGTTCCTTGGAAACCCTATACAAGGTGGATATGAGTTGGAACCAACTTGATGGCACTTAACAACAACAAAAATAATACATTTCTAATAATTTTAATGTAAAAACTTTAATAAACCAAGTTCAATTAAAAACAAATTAAATATCCCTCCTCAATAAATTTTTTTACAGTCAAAAGCATTAATAACTTTTCTGGCTAAAGCACAAGAACATTTTGATATTCTGATATTCTCTCTCTCTCTCTTCCTTCATTTCTCTCCCTCTCTTCCTTCCACTTCACCCAAATCTATACTATATTCTGATCACACTTATTTCTATTTAAAAAAATGGAAATATTCAACAAACATGTTCCTCAGGCAGTTCTAGGTTATGTTCATGCACATATGAAAGATCAGTTAGTTTTTAAAGCAGAAAGTTTTAAATGTCTGGTACAAAGTAGGTATGCTACTGTTTTGTGCAATATAAAGGAAATTTTGTATGTTACCTGCAAATTATCCAAATTATCCATTTTCAACACGAAATGGGTAACTTAAGTGAAATAAAACTGAATAGAATAGAACGAACCTACAGAATTATTGAAATCATTTGTAGGTAGGAAGAAAATAAGGTTCTTTATGTAATTGCAATTACACGATTTCCTCTGAGCTCATTCATTGTTTTCTTCTTGCTAATGGGAAATACTTCAATGCTACAGAACTTCTGCATGAAAGTTTGCTCATCACTGTTGTATTTCTCTAGGCAAAATCATGGCAGGCGAAATTAATTTAATATATTCTTATACCATCCTGCACATCTCAAAAGAAGTAATAATTGTTATACAACCCTTCATTTTGTTAATGAAAAAGACAAACAAACCAGCCTATAATACATATGCCATTACCTCGAGTATGATTTATTCTTATGCCTCTCTTTGCTCCTTAATTGTAAATGATTGCATAAAAATAATAATCCTGGGAAGAAGAAAAGCAAGTTTGAAAATAATTTATTGAAGTCTTACTTCCTTGCCATAAAACTTCAAAGCATTTGCCTGTCACTGTACAAAACAAAAGCTTCATTAGCTTTGTACTGGGAAGTATGTGTTATTAGCCATATGGATACAAATCAAGAGAACAATTTTTCTTATCCAAAATTAGTAGCAAACTATATTCACAAAGCTATTCACAGAAATCCTAATGTTAGAAAACATTGCTGTTGGTTTCTGTAGGACTGGGAGAAAGGGGACAAGCTCTTACTACCTTTTCCTCAGGATTGATAGTCACTAAACAGGGCTTATTGGCTTGGTATAATGTGAAACTAATTGTGCTGGCCTTCTCTTGAATAGTGGGTAATTTACCTACTGGCTGTATGAGAGCTTGGATGTTCTTAAAACAAATTCTCCTGATGATGAATGCTTTTCCAATCTTCAATCTTGCCCATTTCTGTGCAATACCAAAAAGAACCACTTAGGTGGGACTGGATTTATTGAAATAAGCAATTTACTTCTATTTGACAAAGATGAAAAGGATAGTGTTAATTACCAGGAACTTCAAGCATTAATATGTTTGAAATACATAAGCACAGTAATGTGTGGAATAAATATACCTATTTACAGCTCTAGGAGCACGGTGGCTCCATTCTATAAGTACTGGACTGCTAACCACAAGGTCAGAAGTTCGAGCCCACCAGCTGCTCCACAGGAGACTGATGGGGCTCTCCGATGCCTTGAAGATTTGAAGCAAACCTTGGAAACCCTATACAGGTTCACTGTAAATCGGAACCAACTCGATAACACTTAACAATTGTTAACAACAAATCTACAGTGCTATCCCAAAATTATACTTTTAAAGAAGTCTTGTGATTTCTTTAACATCAGAAACACTTCTGTCACTTTTTTTTTTTTTTTCTAATTCAGATTTACAATTAAGAAGTAACAAGAAAAGTCTAAAATTTGTTGTTAAGTAGCATGGAGTCAGTTCCGACTCATAGTGACCCTGCACAGGGTTTCCCAGGCTGCAAACTTTATGGGAGCAGAAAGCCTCATCTTTCTCCCACGGAGCAGCTGGTAGTTTCTAACTGCCGACCTTGAGGTTAGCAGCCTGATTCATAACCACTACACTACCAGAGCTCCTTAAATTTTTAGGTAGTACCTAGAAAAACAAAACAAAACAAAACAAAAAGTGAAAGACAAGATGAAAACAATACAGGCATCACAACTTTTTATAGAAAAGTAGAATTTTTTGAACAGGAATTATCTGTATTTGTTGTCACTATCACATTCATTGGGTAAATTTTTGACCATTCATTTGTTTTGGGAAATGTCAATAGATTTGGCTTCTGCAAATCA